CCCCCCCCACGCTGCATCCAGAGCTGCAACAACTGAATTCCTCCGCCAGGCGTTTCACAACGGGCAGGGCGTAGCAGCAGCAGGGCGTAACCTAGATAAGTGAGAACGAGTGCTGACCGCCGCCGCGCCCCGCCACGCCTCATCACCGCCCAGGCCATTCATTGCGATGAAAAAGTTGGCGGCCAGTAAAACCCGGGGCGGCGCAAGCAGAGCAGGAGGGGCCGGGCGAGCCTTTTGTCTCACAGCGCCAACTGGTTGTATCGTATCGATTGCAAGTCAAATGAGACTCGAAAACTCCATGGCGATAGCGAGTACTGTATGAAAGAGTATTTGGCGAGCACATTAAACGGTATATGTACCAGGTGGCTGATTCACGCCACGCGCTTTCGTACTCGCATAAGGAGCCGTTGGCAGCGCGCATAGGCAACCCGCCCGCACCCGTGCGTGCGGTACAGTATACCTACGAAAGTGCGAGGCGTCAATCAGCCACCTGGTAATAAAAGTGGTGAGAGAATAAAAGTGTCGACCACTTTGCTTTCGCGGTGTATCGGGCAGAGCCAAGCCAATTAAAAGGCAGCTTGTGACGACGACGACGAGAAGCTCCCTCTCTTTGTCCCTCCCCGGGGCGCGCCGAGCAGCAGCAGCGAGAGTCACACACAAAGAAAACTGCTAGCGACGCACATAAAATAAGTCGAAGCGTCCAAAGCTTGATGGAGTAGGCGGCCGCTAGGCAACGCCGCACGAGACCAAGCTTTGTCTCAATGGCCTGGCCGCTGCGGCCACGCCGCGCCACGCCCCGCCACGCCGCGCCACGCCCCGCCACGCCCCGCCACGCCCCGCCACCACACCGCACCGTACACTTTTCACGGCACCTGAGCGTCTCCCCAGTCTTTTCGCTCGTCTAAGTGGACTCGGGTTTCCGAACCCAGTTTCCGAACGCACTTCGGGCGCCGACGCGCGCGGAGAGGGGGAAGAAGAGCCAAGCAGGGAGGTTGCGCGGCAGGGGCGAGGCGTGGCAGGGCGGGGCGGGGCGTGGCGGATAGGAGCGAGGCTGATGGGGTAAATCAACGCAGCCACCCTTCTCATCAAATAAGTGCGAATTACACACCCAGGCACCCGAGCGTTTTGAGTCCTGGCCCCAGTCAGTGGGGCTCTGCACCGCTCGGCCTGCACTGCTCTGCACGTCCGCCCATCCATGGCTCCTCAGCCTTGGCCGGGCCACCGGACGCGTCCGTGGAAATGCGCACCAAACAAACAAGAAAGGAACACAGACACACACACGGGAAAAACAAAATAAAAGCACGGCGTAGGAAGATTATTAAGGCACGGCCTTAAGGTGCGTTAAGGCCAATGGACGGAAGTTTCCTCCGCGCAAGTTTCGCGACGTACGATTCCGTTCCGTCTTGAAAGCCAATTATCACAAGTGTGAAAACGGACCGCCCCAAGAGAGGGGGAAAGGGAGCAGGGGCAAAGAGGGGC